TCAAACTTGTGAGCTCAGTCAATCCACCGCCTCAGCCTCCCAGAGTGCTAGAATTACAGGTGTGAGCCACTGTGCCCCACCTTTTTTTTTTTTTTTTGAGACAGAATCTCACTTTGTCACCCTGAGTAGAGTGCTATGGCGTCATAGCTCACAACAACCTCAAACTCTTGGGCTTAAATAATCCTCTTGTCTCCCCAGTAGCTGGGACTACAAGTGCCCACTACAATGCCCGACTAGTTTTCTTTCCTATTTTTTTTAGTGAAGACAGGGACTCACTGCTGCTCAGGCTGGTCTTGAACTCCTGAGCTCAGGCTATTGGTCTCCCTCTTTGTGAAGGTGTTAGGGTTCAACACCCTCTAGGTAACCACTGTTCTTAGAAATTATTTTTTTAGAAACAGGGTCTTGCTCTGTCAACCAGGGGAGTGCAGTGGTGTCATAGTAGGTCATTGCAGCCTAGAACTCGTGGGCTCAAGTGATCTTACCTTAGCCTCCTACCTCATGCTCCTATATAGGAGTTACACAACTGGTATTACCAGTGTATGCCACTGTGGTTGGCCCCATTCTTAGAAAATTGATAATCTACACCTCACTGTAGAATGACCCTACAGTTGGGCCTGCATGCCCATCAAGTGGGAATCTAAGTCCAAGTACTTCATGTAATTCTAGACAAGTTTCAGCAGTTCTGCAGTGGACACTCCTACATACAATCGAGAATATATGTTACCAATAATTTGTTCCTCACTATTTACCTTGACAGATCTTGGGGTCTGCCTAGGTCCAGATTTTTAGAAGGCTATAGCCATCTCTATTTCAGGGGTGACATACCCCACCTTGGCTCTGCCCATATGGAGGGAGGGTTGGTGACCTTTTCTTGGAGGTGGGGGTATTATCTCTTAGAAAATCCCCAAACCAGGACATCTTTGCCTTTCAAACTATTTTTTCCTGAAAGTTGACCCCAACACACTACTATGCAGTACTGAAAAGAAGGTTGCTGTGGTAAGGAGTGTTATTGAGGATTGGCAGCAAAATTTAGTGACCATAATCTTTGGTCTATAGCAGTAATAGAAACTCAGAAACAGGTTATACAAGTCACAAAACTTGAAAGTTCTGTGAGTTTAACCATCTTGTACATGCCATATGATGAAAACTTTGAAACAGCCGTCCTTTCCATAAAGTCTAGGTACTAAGGAGAGAAGATATGGCCCTACCTTGGAAGATTTCTGTATTGGCCATCTCTTATTTTGTCTTCCCTACTCATTTACCCTATCTTCTAATCATAGATGCCATCCTCCTCAACCCCAAGGGATCGCCATTGTGATTCCTCTCTTTCTGCTACATGGTAACATGTTAACTGTAAGGATGCCTTCTCTGCCATTGTCTATCTGTCTCTATGAATGGCTAGCCATGATCCATCTGAATTATCAGTTGCTTTGTATACTCAGTATTTTTTAATTTCTTATGCTTGATATTCACTGTTTTCTTTTAGGATACCACCAAGAAGGCTTCCTGGCCATACAACATGCTGTAGATAAAGCTATCATGTGGCACCATGCTCACAATGTAACAACCAACATGTTTAAAAGTCTCAATGTTCTTGTGAAGAGATTCCCATTTGGACCCTATGTCGAGGACAGGTTCTTTCTAGTTCTGCAGAATGAGTTCTCTCTGCTTCTCATGCTCAGCTTCATCTGCATCGAGCTTAACATCATCAATTCCATTGGACTGGAGAAAGAGAAAAGGCTCAAGGTAATGCCATCTGCCTCACAGGTATGCCCCTGCTGGATTGGGGATATGTGTAGGCTACCATAGGAAAATGCCCAGAATAGGAATGAGGCCGAAGCAGGTGTTAGAGTGACTTCCAGGGTGAGCTGGAATTTAGAATTTCTTTCTTAACTTGTAACCCACTTTAACCCATCTGTTACTATTGCATGAATCCTTGCTGTTAGACTGAGGAAGTCCAGCCACATAGTTCCTGCAACCAAGACTAGTGAGCTGCCTCCCACAGGGTAGTGTTCAAAAAATGCTTTTGGACTGATAAACATGGAGGGGAGAACATTACCCACAGTTCACTTGCTCTCATTTGCCATTAGGTAGATGAGAAGCATTCTCTAGGAAGATGCAACATAAGACAAACCTCACCCTGCTGAGTGCTCCTGAGATCATTGAGTCTACTGTGCCTTCTACACTCTTCTGCTGTTCTACTCTCTCCTATTACTTTACACTTCTCTTCCCACACGTCAGGCAGCCATCACACAGTGGGAAGTGTTTGTATCTAAACACGTTTATTATAAGCTATTGTTTCTAAAAAAAGAAAGAAAGAAAGAAAAAATAAACATATAAACATAAAAAAGATATAGTAAAGATACAGTATCATAATCTCACGGGACCACCATCATACATGGGTCTACTGTTGGTAGAAACGATGTTATGCGGCATAACTGTATTACAATAGCCTCCCAGTGTCTCCTTGAGCCTTGGCAACCACTGAGGATGTCTCATAGCAAAGAGCTAACTTCTCTGACTTCTTGTGTCATCATTTGTAAGGAATGGGGACTGAGACTGCCTCTTGAAGCTGCCTGTGGGGGTGTACTGGCTTTGGTTTCATATGGTGGAAGGCAATGGTGTGACGAAGGGTAGTGGGACAGTGGGCTAACAGGCAGGCTCTCCCACTGGCCCTGCATCTACTGAAAAACCTCAGGGAAACTAGGAGCTTCTGGTGTGTTGTTGGAGGCCCCTTTTAATTTCCAGGTGTGGGATGGAGTTTTACCTTTCCTGTTTATTATTTCAGCAACAAACTAGAAGATAGAGGTGGTGAGCTTCAAATGTTTGCATTTCTGTCATTGAATTGCTTATGTATTTCCTATTTCACACTGTCTGTTCCTTAGACAAAGGTTTTTTAAAAACTTGCTACATCTTGCTGTCTGCTGTGCAGACTGACCTGTAGGCATTCCAGCATATGCTTTCAAGGACCTGGCAGGGCCTCAGAAAGAAGAGAGAGAAGGACAGGTCTGCCTGCTGACCCCCAGGTCTCTTCCTGCAGGTCATGTTGGGCTCTGTTCACTCTTTGGCTGAAGGTCACTGTTCTCTCAAGATGTCTTGCTCCATAAGACTCTTTCCTCTTCTGGATTCTGGTAACTTCTCTTCCTTCTCATCTCTTTGAGCCCAAGGAGGGTAATAACTCTGTTGCTGCTAGCCCTAAGTTTCTGCACTATCCAGTAGATTTTATGTCCCTGTGTACACATTTGTAATTAGATTTGTTATAAACAAACCCTTCTTGAATTATTCTAACTTGAGTGTAACAGTTGTTTCTGTTAGGACCCAATTGATTGATATACAATTCTAAGAAAGAGCTACTATGATTATTCTCATTTAGCAGAGGAACTAACCTGAGACATACACAGGTTAAAAATTTCAAAATAACTTTGTAGGGGACAGTATAATACAGCCATAATAAAAGCATTTTATTCCCTCCCTTAGCAAAATAAAAGTTTCTGATAATTAAGCTTTAGTTTTTCTGAGTGGAATCTTAGATGAAATATGCCAGGGAGGAATATGCTCCATTTCTGCTGGAAAAGATAGTTCATCAGGGAGTTCTGCCAAATCTTTTAGGCTTGGATGCTGATAGGATTGAGGTGGTTGGCTCTTGTTTTCTATTCAGATGATCCGCTGGGACCCCAACTTTTCAACTTTTCCTTGTAAATGACCCAGGAGGAGGCAGGTTTATTCCATGAAGAGTCATTACTATGGGAACTATACCAAGAGGGAGAATGCCTTCACAGTGTTTGTCCCTAGGTCCAAGATGGGTAATGGGGAAGTAGGATATTAATGTCATTTATTTCTTTGAGCATGGAATACAACTAAAAGAATTCTTTCTTAAACTCCCTGTGTTGATCTAGTTTTGATTTAGTCTGATTATGTGGATGGGTTAAGGAGAATTAAAGTAGATTGTCTTTAATTTAGAAACTACTTGAAACACCTGCCACCCTACACCCCTCAGTATAGGCCCTTTACTCTGGTTGACTATGTTCCTTTTCTATCTCTAGATAGGCAATAGCTGTACTGTTCTTCTATAGGTATGCCCTCTGTTTGTAATGCCCTCTAATACAAAATTCATATTGTAGTTCACCTCCTCCAAGACTACTTTCTAGGCCATTTGAAGTCATTCCCACCTATAATCCCCTTACTTTGGGAGGCTGAGGCAGGAAGATTAATTGAGCCCAGGAGTCTGTGGATGCAGTGAGCTATGATTGCACCACTATACTACAGCCTGGGTGACAGAGCAAGAACCTCTCTTAAAAAAAAGTCTTTCTTGGCTCAGCACCTGTATCCCAGTGAGTAGGGCCTGTGAGTGCTGGCCACATGTACTGAGTGGCGGGTTCAAGCCCGGCCTGGGCTTGCTAAACAACAATGACAACTGCAACCAAAAAATAGCTGAGTGTTGTAGTGAGCACCTGTAGCCCTAGCCACTTGTGAGGCTGAGGCAAGAGAATCACAGGAGTCCAAGAGTTTGAGGTTGCTATGAGCTGGGATGCTACAGCACTCAACCAAGGGTGACATAGTGAGACTCTGTCTCAAAAAAAAAAGAAAAAAGTCTTTCTGAATTTCATCAATCTTTTGTCCCATTTTTCCATAGCATATGGTTTCTTCTGTTGTAGTATAGATGGAGCTTTCTTTTTTTTTTTCCTCTGGGACAGAGTTTCACCATGTCGCCCTCAGTAGAGTGCTGTGATGTCACAGTTCACGGCAACCTCAAACTTCTGGGCCCAAGCGATTCTCCTGCCTCAGCCTCCCAAGCAGCCAGGACCACAGGTGCCGGCCACAATGCCCAGTTATTTTTTTGTTCTAGTCGTCATTGTTGTTTGGCAGGCCCAGGCTGAGTTTGAACCTGCCAGCTCCAATGTATGTGGCTGGCGCCCCAGCCACTGAGCTACAGGGCACCAAGTCAGTTAGAGCTTTCTTAACTGATCTCCATGTAATCAGTTGTCCCGATGACATGTCCATCCCCTCTGTAAAATTTCAGATTGGAGCTCCCAAAACATTGTAGCTGGTAGACTTCTCTCTACTACACATGGGCTTATCTCCTCTTACTTGCTGAGTTGTAGGCTTATCAGGGTTTGTTCCTAAATCTCTTTATACTTGTGCTTCTTCTTATAGTTTGTGGTGTAATTAAATATTACATAAATGAATGAAGTGGACTGCAGTTGCCTTTGAAAGTATAGTTGAATGCTTTGGAGAGTAAGGTAGATCTCTAAAAACATGCTAATAAATTTAATGTGGGTAAAACCACTGTAAAAATATGGAGAAAAAGTTATAAAAAAGGTTGTTAGATTCTATACTAGATTT